TAGATCAGAAACACATCATTAAAAGGCAGAATGCTTTGGTGTTTTCAAAACAAAGCAAGCGTTGCCACCGGCGGAAAAGAAATACAGCCAAAATTTGGGAGCCACGTAAGAGAATTATATATAATAGATTCTCACGTTTCGTACTTTGCCTAAAATCACCAAGCATTGAGAACATTGTGTATGGTGGGTAAGCTGAACGATTATGCAAATATTTACACCTACTTTATCAGTAAATTCATGTACAATGGCACTTGTGTTAAGAAACTTTCTCCCTGCTGGAAAATATGGATAAATGTTTTCTATCCATAACCAAGGTCTAAAAAATCTTTGAAAAACTAAATAAGTCAATCTGAAAAGATAAAAATATGCAAGAAATTTGTAATGAAGTATATCTTTATACCTGTGGTTAAAAGTTAGACTAAACAAATCATCGAGCTTATTCGAATCAGTTGACTTAGGTGATTCGAATCAGTTACTCTAATATTTGGTTCAAATCACTTATGACTTTCGATTCACTTTCAAATCTTTTACTGATTCGAATAAGTTGCTGATTCAGAATACAAAACCGAAAATAGAACTAGTAATGTAGAACACTAACACTTGATCTCTCATGAGGAATGCATTGCAGATGTAATTGAATGTTTCATTATTAAGAATTCTTCTAATGAAAAGAAAACAGAGTATAAACTTATTGTAACTTTGTTGGTCTAAATTAGCTAATCACAAACAAAAATAATAAATTAACAATCTATAATAACAATCTTTAAGCCTGATGTCCCCTGAGTTTGCCAAACGGATCCCTGTAGGTTGCGTATTGTTATTATTATTATTATAATTCGGGGTCTACCAACCCTACTTGCTATCGTTCGCCAACTCCCTTAACAGCTTTAGCAATCCCTTACGAACGCTTCGCGTGCTCGCTTGGTTTCTTATTGCGCGATCTTCGGGAAAGCCGATATGGAAAGTTTTTATTTCAGTATCGCTCAGTCTCTGTATAGAATTTCAGAATAACTAGGATTGTTCCTTACTATGCACAATTCGGTAAGTAACATTCAGGATGGTAACTTTTAATTTCACGGGAGATACGTTTCAAATCAAGTAATCCAATAATAAAACGCTAAGCGTTTGCTGAAGAGCTAGTTAGAAATTTGAAAACTCTTTTCATAAATAAGTTTTGGTATTATATTTTGCATAACTTGCTTTATCTTGCTTAACTTAAGCTAGAAACTTATGGAAAGAAATTCTAACAAAAAGTCGAACGATCTCGAGCTGAAAAGCATTACAAACTGGCCGCGGATCGATGCCGGCTCTCTACAGAACATGAGTGTCTTTCCACTTACTTATACAGATAGAATTTAGTTTCTGATCCACATTGCTCTATATGCCGAAGCCAATTTAGTAATGGATGGCCGCCACGTTCTCCTTAGCAATGCTCTCCTTAGGGCAACTATCGTCAATCGATGCTGGAAGACGAGGCAAGCTTTAGAATTAAGAAATGACTCATATTAATTTTTATGATCATGTTATCTTGAGTTGTATTATTTCTATCCAGCGTCAATCCCCTCTGACATTTGAAATTTAAAAAAATAGAACTTTAGCTTGTCTGTTTAAAGTGTTTGTTGAAACTTTTGGAACCTTTACATGAGTTGATAATATATAAATAAATGTCTACGTCAGGATAGTTATGTCTACATTATCTAGGAATTGAATTTTTAGACTACCCTTTCAATTCCAATATCTTTCTCTTCTCAGTTTTGGAATATTTTTGAAACAAGCACACAAAACTGAATTTATATTCGATTTCAACTTTCAAAAATTGGAGCTAAAGCATTTCTTCCGTAATAACAAAATGCATTCAAAAGCGTTTCGTGACTTTAATTTTATCACAACATATAATTTATATTCTTTAGTTTTTCGAGTGATCAGAATTCTGAATAAGTTATTTTTCTTACCGAAAGACAGCTACGAGTTTCTAATTTAAGATAAATTAGAAAAAATTAGAAAAAATTTCAACTTAAGAAACAACAAGCAATGGTCTTTGAGAAAGAAACGTCAATACTGTATATACCTGATATATGTAAGTATATACCTGGTATTGGTTTCATTCTGGTATAGCCTGGTACAATGTACATTTTTATTACATTTACTAAGAGACTGGGTAGTTATAAACAATAACCTAGATAGTAACGAGAATGTCGGAGCCATTCTCCGGTTTACTTTTCCGGCATTCATTTTTTTTCTCTAAAATAAAGGGTTATTGCCCAGATTGCATCTGTCCCGTATACCTTTCATTGGTGTTTCTTTTTAAGGGCAATTTTCTGTTTAAAATTGTCCAATATTCCCCGTACTGTATCTTAAAGTAATAGCCCATTGCCCGGATTTCACTTGTTTAGTAATCCCTTCACTAGTTTTTTTTTAAATATTAAGATCCATTACACAGATATTCTTATACTGATATTTTCCTAATCAATCCCGGATGAGAAATTCGTAGCTGTCTCTGAACAAGAAAAAAAATTATTATTAATCCAAATTCTGATCAGCATTTCAAATTCTGCAATCGAAAATAAATTCTGTCTGCAGCTCCCATCTTGAGAAAGATGCAGACATGCGTTTTCCCACCTACAAAAAATAATTAGCTACTAAAAAAGTCCACTCATATTATAAAGATGCTTAGAACTAAAGAAGAAAGTCTAAAAATTCAATTCTAAGATCTAAGCAACTTGATGACTTATTTCTACAACAAATAAGAGCCTTCCTTATCCTGGTAGGAAGCTGGATACCTGTGGTATCGGCTAATATGTCTGGTACAGATTGATCATTGTCGACTTTCTTACCGTGCAGTTTGGCTCCCACTTAATTAAATTTGCACTACGTTCTTAAACCTCACCACAGTGTCAGTCAATAAATTTATATAATGCTAGAGAAAAATCAGTGATAAACTGAGCTTAACCTATGACTCCTTTCATATAGGCACTTGTCGATTTCGTTTGAAAATTAAATTTACACCGCATTCTTAAACCTCACCACAGTGTCAGTCAATAAATTTATATAATGCTAGAGAAAAATCAGTGATAAACTCTGCTTACTCTATGACTCCTTTCATCTAGGCACTTGTTGATTTCATTTGAATATTAAATTTATACTGCGTTCTTAAACCTCACCACAGTGTCAGTCAATAAATTTATATAATGCTAGAGAAAAATCAATGATAAACTGTGCTTACTCTAGGACTCCTTTCACATAGGGACTCGTTGGTTTCGTTTGTGTGTGCATTTCTGCTCCCATTATTGACTCTGCAAAAAATTAAATAAGCTTCACGTGTATAATGAAGTAAGTATACATATTATTTTACAAATAGCATGCAAACTCAATCTATAACTTTTCTTATTCTGTATGTAACATTTTGAATTTATGGAATTTAAACTATAAAATTGTTTTTCGACGATACAATTTTTTAAACAATTCCCCTTGCTACACTGAAATATTATTAATAAAATTAAAAATGAGATAATTTTATAACATAAATAACAAAATTTTACCAGCATATTGTATTATATGTTGTCAGTAAAAGCAATTACAATTGCTTGTTTGTAATCAGAAAAATCAAAATCAAAAGCAAAATCAAAGTTTGTTTGTAATCAAAAGCAATTGTTTGTTTGTAATCAGAAAATATTAAGTGTTCAGTGAGCAAAAAAAGTGTTTCTGTTGATGAGAACTTAAAAAGTGTGTGTATTAAAAATTCCATCTCTCAAAAACTATTCGAGAGCAAAATTACGCTCTTTACAATGGTATAAAAATTTGTATACCTTACTTCTGAAAATTTTTCAGTTATTATTAAATAAAAATAAAAACAATTTATAAATAATAGTCAAAAATTATTTCTTCCATATTTTCTTTGAATAAACAAATTTTATAACTGTGTCCACACTCTCAAATTAACATGAAGGAATCAAAACTTTGGACTGCTCTTCCGTCCAAACTATTTGGGTCATTTGTCCCTGACTCCCCAAATTTTGAGGGCAAAGAATACAAATTTAAAAGGTACGTGCGTCGAAAAAAAGGAATGTTTATTCAGAGAAAGTACGTTCTTATCTCTGATTTTGTAATTTAAAATGTCGGCTGTACTATTTATATTGCATATTCTAGTGTAAAGTTGCTACATCACACTTACGTCCAAATTTCTGCAGCTTAACTTTTTTGACTTAGTCTCTTAGTTTTTCGATCCAAATGTAAATTTTCTTTTTCAAGTCAACTTTCCTCAGTTATATTTATTTTGACCTACATGGCATTTTAACTTTTAATTGATTTCCTGATATCGATACCTTTTTTTATTTAACTGAGACAGAGCGAAGGTAGCCTGATTCCGGCGTCACTTGATGAACAGACTTCAAGAGTGTGGGTAACTCTACTCTTCGGGCATAATCTATTAATTTTTGAATTGTTAAGCCTCCGTCTCCCCACTATAAGTCTGGAATTTCAAGATATTTTAGAAATATAAAAGATTAAAACATAAATATAAAAATCATCTCACTGAAATAACCCCTTTAGTTCATTAAGACTGAGTCCTAATATGTAAAGATTCGATCACTAGATCAAAAGTCATTCAGGATGTTCCCTTTTTTTCTTTTTGTGCCAGCGCGTTACATTCACCTTATATTATATTTTACGTAATGAAATATGCATATATGACACGATACATTCATACTTACCACATATAATATCTAAGCTACATCGTGTAATAATAGGAAGAATGTCCACATGATTCACTTTGGATTGTTTGTCTAGAATATCTACTAATATTTTTGATTGTTTGCTAAAAACATGTTGGAAATCTTTCAAAATATTGAAATGGAATGCTGGTGTCAGCAGCTTCCTCCTGTGTCTCCACTTTTCGTCATAGCTTGAGACATAAAATTATGTTAGTAAATTTATGCCAATTGTTATAATTGTTAATAAAAAAAATTCAATTCAACTATTTTAATTAATTGGTTATTTCTCACGATATTAAAAATATCGTAAGGGCCGTTATTTAGGGTCTTTTGTTTTGGTTCGCAAAAATTGTAATACTTAGGAACTTGAAATTGTAGAGCTTCGTGGAATAATGTCCAGGGAGCTGGTTTAAATAAAAGCTTTAAACATTCCAGACTCAGTTCGAGAATTAACTGTTAAACTTGTAGAAAAAAATACCATGTGGGTCAATCTGCAGGCCGAAAGGATTAAAATACAGACTTAAAATTCCGCATGCTGAAGGAGCTGTCTTTGCTAATGAACTTAAGGTATCCGATTAGTTTCGACAACTTTTTTTTAAATATTAATAAAATTTTTTAAAAAACTAGTCTGTTAGTTTTATTGTGTGTAAAAACTTAAACTAACAAAAAAAGTATCATTATTATTTTCCTTTCTATAGCTATTTTTAGGTAAAAAGAAATTTTCGCAGATACGCAAATTTTTATCGCCTAAAAAATCCTTTGAGAACTTAATTTAGTAAGCTATTAACTATGTTTTAAATTATTATCCTTAGGCAGGGACATTTTGGTTGGTAGGGAGCTGGGCCCAAGTCCAAGACGCAGTACGTTCAATCCCCGCTTGCCCTGGTGGACGTTAAACCTGTTGAATCACAAAGTCCTCCACATTTCCATAATAAATCAATACCTAGGGGTATTGAATTGGAGATTGATCGTTCTCTGGTTCAGGTCAAAACTACGATCTGTGGATGAATGAATGGATGCATCCGCCCTGTAAACGGGCTTTGACATGTGCGTGACTGAAGTCGTATCCTTGGCCATAGATAGCGCCACTGAAGGACAAAAAATGCACCCTCTGTCTTAAAATTCCCTTGGTTTCACCAAGCAGCCTTGTTAGTATTGGTAAATGGCATCAACAACAGCAACAAACAACATATTAAGGTGAGATAGAAAATGGCCATAATCTGAAGCAAGGTTCTGATGAAGGAAGATGGATGATTAACGACTATAGGCAGCTTATTGAGGCCTATAAATCGAAGGCTCTGCGAATAAATTTTGCCTTGGCTGTTGATCAGCTGGTTTTGATTTTTGGTTTTGAATTTGATCTGCCGGTTCTGATTTTGAATTATAAATAACACCAATTCCACTTCCCCTATATTCACACTAGCCCTCCTCTTCCTTATATGCCCTTAGAGTCAGCAACAGTTTTCGATTTCGGAAACATCTCCGGGATTGAAGTAGAAAAATTGTGTTTGGGTAAAAATATCCTCCTAAAACTATTTTTTTTTTCTCCAAAATTGCTTTTTCGAAACATCACATTCATAAATTTTTTATTCTTGCGTAAGTATCGTGATTCAAGAATATAAATATTTCTGTATTTTTCTACGAAATTCGAAGGTTCGAAGATCTATTGCGAAGTACAAAAGACTTTCTATTTTTCAATAGTTTTGTATAATTTCTTATTGTCTGAATTTTTGGCATTATCTCTTCTTCCATTTAAGCATTTTTTTAAACTTTCACTCCAGTGACTACCACTCATTCCTAAATTTGAAAGAAAATGGATTCATCAGAAGGTTTAACTCTTTTTCAGTGACATATCAGGGTATATGACTAACAAAAAATGCCATAATATCGAAATCTGTGATTATATGGAGAAAAAGGTAGGGGAGAGTCGGGTAGCCCCGCCCACTTAAGGAGTATTGTTCATATTTTTGTATAATATTGAGTAATAATCAATATTTTTGTATGTTTCTATTGTTTTATCATCTAATTAAATAATGCAAAAAGAATAAATCAAAAAAAGAATAGTTTAACTTAAAAAAAATAGAAATTTAAAAAAACATGTTTTTCAGCTCTTTTCAAAATGCGTCGGGTAGCCCCGCCCAGTTACAAAAATTGTGTTTTTTTACTGTTTTTCAGGTGTAAATGAAAATGACCAATGTATTGACAATAGATAAACCTCGTTTATCATTTTTATCGCAAAATTATTTTATTTATTACATATTTATGTACTTTCAGTGAATTCTATCATTTAATAACAATCATTTAATAGCAACAATATTTGTTGTTAAAAATGCATATAACATTCAAATTTGAAGCAATAAAATAATAATCTTTGCAACCGTACATTTATCGACGAAATAAAATTGGGCGGTGATACCCGACATTCATGTGAGCGGGGCTACCCGAAATCCAATTTTTTTGTAAATTTGTAATTACTCGAACAATTTTTTACATACAAACTTCTTTCTTTGTGCAAATTAAACTTAAGACTACATACTTTAATGCTGTATGTATAGAAAAAATTATTTTTTTAGTATTAAAATGAAGTTTAATGGAAACATTCATCCCATTTTTCTTAATTTCGTGACTACTGTATTCAACATATTTTCAAAACTATTGTTTACCATGTTAACAGCTGCAGAAATACTTGAAACTTGGAAAATAATATTTTTTTAATATAACAATTAATGTCCGATGGCCCATTGACTTAAAAAAATATTCTATGCATATGAAATTGACAGTGGGCGGGGGTACCCGCTCTGCGGAGCTACCCAACTCTCCCCTAATTAATTATTTTTAAAAAGTTGGAAATGTTATAGAAAAATATTTTTCAATTTCTTAAAATGTATAACTTAATTAGAGGAATAGCCTTGTAGACAATATTTCTCTGGAATTTCCGTTAAAGCTCTCTTTAGTATATAGAAAATATAAATTTGCCTGATGTTCATAACGAAGAGAATGCGTTATTTACCATTGTTTTCTAATGAAGAATAATACTTACCTTGTTAATAGACCCATACCTAACCAAGGATGTAGAAAATTGTAAAGAAAGCTCTTTTTTAATTCGTTGTTTTGATGCAAAACTACCTAAAGAAAATATTAAATTTTTTCTTCAAAACTATAATTGAAAATCATTTTAAAATATTATTATTTAAAAATAACTAACTGAAACGTAAAAATGACATAAAACTGAACATACCTCAACAGTATCAGCTCGATATACACTTATAAAAGGTATTGTAAAATTCCATGCATGATGTATTCCGTCTTTATAAAATAATGTGTTATATCCTTGAAGGGCCAAGAAATCGTCTATAGAGAAACATTAAATTATATAAAAGTTGTAATTCAATAATGTACACCGAAGAGCCATTACATTATGACATCCCTGCTAATAACATGTAGGACGACCTTTAGCCCTCAAAACTAATAGCACCCGCGATGGCATTGATTCCCCAAGGTGCTGATAGGTAGTCTGAGGTATCTGGTACCAAGCGCTCACCCAACTGGTCTTGCAATTCCCTCACATTGCGAGGGGGTAGAGTGGCAGCACGAATTTGGTTTTCCAAGTAGGACCGCAAATGCTCTATTGGATTAAGGTCAGGTGAATTTGGGGGCCAAGACCTGACACTTGAAAGTCACTGGAATGTTCCTTGAACTAATCCATGACATGGTGCATTATCCTGTTGGTAAACACCATCTCCCGCACGAAAAACTGTTGCCATGAATGGGTGACTCTGGTCTGCTACTATGTTCAAGTAGTTTCTAGACGTCAGGGACTGTTCTATGAGGATTATAGGTCCTAATGTGTTCCATGAAAACATTGTTCCTGGGCTAGAAACCATGAAAACCTGGGCGAGCCCATTGCAACAGAAGGAAGGTGGTCATAATATAATGGCTCTTCGGTGTATACTTCTATTAAAAAAAACGAGAAAAGTATAGTCATTACACGATTTCTTAAGAAGGAAACACCACTATGAAATTTTCAACCAAAAAAACTCTTGTTTTCTCATTAATATATTAAGAGCTGAGTGTTATTTTATAGAATTAGGACAAATTAAAATTTGCACATTGGCAATGAAAAACAAGGATATGGCTTGCTTTATTTCTTACTTTTAACTCGTGTGACGCATAGTAGTCGAGACTTAGAAAAAGCTGACCAAACATGATCCTTACTACAATGGAATGCCTGCAAGTGACGCATTAGTGATCCTGATTGGTTGTTGAAACGTGGCATTTTCTTACATAAGTAATTGTCCTTTCCACTTTATTTCGAGAAACCCAAGTCTACCAAATACCAATTTTCTTAAATAACACAAACTATGTTCTTTCACAGAAATTTTAATTCTATCACTATATATTTACACAAAGACTTAACACAAAGACATACACGAAGTCATGTAGAAAATAAACAAATTTATTATGTATCGAAGTTGCCAGGTACTCATAGCAAAAATATACCACGGATGCAATAAAATACATAAACAAATAATAAATCTAAGTTAAGTAAAGGAAGCAGACTAGAAAAAATAATATTTCAACAAATTCGATGTGCTATATATTCGATGTAACTATTTCTGCACCTCTGTATTTAATCATCTTGACATTAATTAGCATTTTAAGTAATTTAGAAAAACTTGGCTCAATTTTAATATTCTATATTGCTGATAAAGATTAGCTAACGCTGACGTCATAGATCACATAAGTGGGTGGTGGTTGTCTTCCTCTTGGAGTTCTACAATTCTACATTTTTTTTCATTACTAAAATAAGGGTTCTCGAGGTATCTGGTTAAGAATTTGAAGTTAAAATTTCAATTTTAGAAATAATAGATCCTAAGTTCAAAATGAAGATGAAGCAAAGGAAAATTACAGATTAATGAAAAAAGGGGGGAAAGAAAAGTATTATTAAAAATAACAGAAACTGGAAAGAAAAAAATAGTAATCAGGGGAAAAAACGATAGAATTCTCTTAAAAAAATCCGGAAAATGAAATATATAATCTTTTTATCAGCCCACACGATTATATCCGCAAAAAAGTGTGCTTTCTGATATTGTATCAATGTAGCCAAAGCGAAATATATCAATACAATAGTATGAGGAGCACTCAAAAAAATTTTTACGAAAATTACAACAAATAAAATAGAACACAATAAGTAAAAATAACACGTAAAAACAGAAAATAAAATAGAAAGAAAAAACAGAATAAAACATAATCTATAAAGCGAGTAGCGAAATCAAATGAACTTACATGAAAGAGAAATTTTTCAAGAATGATTTAAAATATTTTCGTATCATGATTGCCAGATTTCAAAATATGAAAAGAGAAGCGCAAATTGAGATAGAGACGTAACTAGAAGAGTTTTGTTTTAAAGTGCGTTCGTACTGCATTACTGAAGTGTTATGTTATNTAAAAATAATTATGTTAACAAATATGAAAATTCAGGCCATATATTACTAATATAAAAATATATATTATATGCTCCAATGATTTTAATTATTTTCCATAGCTAAGAGATTTTTTTACCATGGGGGCGAGTTCCTTCACAGTTTTTTTCATAAGTATTACCCTGTTGAGAAATTGTCTCATCACTATAGAGTCTTACCTTTGAACTACCCTACTTCTACCCTTACAACCCTTGAACAAAACTCCGTTGTAGAGCAATCTAGAATTTTTACAAGAATATATTTTACAATGACGTGATAGATTCTTGTGGCACGCGTTAAGATTTTAATGGGAAAACTAGTTTTTTTTTCATTAAAATATCATCATATGAGGGAAACATATCCTTGATACGTTTTTCACATGATACTGGAATTTCAAAAAATCTGCTGTCCTTATCATAGAAACCACATTTGCTCGCTTTTGTAAGAAGCTTTAAATTTGTATTTAAATTTTTTTTGGACATCTCTACACTGTACAATCTATGGTTTAATGTCTCTCCAAATATGATATTGACTAACCCAAAAAACTGTGTGGAAAAGAGATTTCAGCTTAACACCAAATCAAGATTTCATATGGAATTAAATCATTGAATTTTAAATATAAATCTTTATAATGGTATAAGTTTACACCAAACTCTAATTCATTCACACCAAGCGAGATTTTCTTTTCGGAAAACTCTGTTATTGAGCTTTGAATATTGCCAGGAGTTTGTTTTCAATCAGGAATAAGTTGTCGTGATTTAGTGAGCCTTTGACTCTGCCATGCAGAAACAAAACAAAAATTTGACGTAAAAGCTAGAATATTAAGGTACTCAATTTTTTACATAATTTTAAAGAATTTGCTTGTTGAGGGCCAAATACAAAATTAGAACAAAATTGGTCAAATAATTCCTGAAAATTCCTGAATTTTAACAATACGGCTTTTTCAAAATTCGATTTCTCAGAACTATTCGACCAATTTTGTTAAAATTTCGTATTTTCCATTTAAAATTGCATTCTTTAGAATTTGATGTTTTAAACCTTAGAATTCAACATTTTTTCAACCATTAATGGAGTACAATAATGAAAAGTAATAAATATTTATTGAAACTTATATTTTGCATGGAATTCTCTATGGATACACTAATTTTATAATCGTGTGCAAAAACTTTTTGATTCGTTTAATAAGTTCTCAAGATATGGTGAAATACGCAAAAAGTAAAATTAACATTAAGGGGTTCAAACTTTGGACCGCTCTCCCGACCAAACTATTGAGACCCGTATTGCGGCTGCCCCCTATATTGTGGGGATCAAAAATCTGAATCTGTCGGAAAAAAAGGTAGATTTATTCAGGGAAAGTACGTTTTTAGTCTGATTTCGTAACTTACTAATTAATTGTCTACACTAATTAATTAGCTTATTTGAGGTCACCCCCTTCAGCCATTAAAATTGAGTTTTTGAACGTGAAAATCCTATCATTCGATCAAAAGTTATTCAGGAAGATCTATTTTTTATTTTGTCGACTTTAAGTTTTAGAGTAAAGAGAGCAATTAGCAGCAGTTTTCTTTTCATGATTCAAAATAATTTAAAATCTCCGTTATTTGATATTATGATAAAATTTACTATTTGAAAAGTAGGACATTTCTATTTACCTAACCAATTCAAGATATGCAGATTGTGTTATCCAGTTCTTTAATCAACACCATTTAAATAAGTCATCATTTGAAACAGATAACATAAAAGAGATAACTTGAACTTTATATTGCATCTTATCATTAAGAAATGTCTTTTGCATTAAAATTTAAATAGCAATTTTCAATTACAATCAAGTAATTTTCTCTGGTATTTATCCCTTTCAAAAGCCGTGAGAGAAAGTCTTACTACCTAATCATATATGGAACTGAAAGTTGTTTACCGACTTACTAATTAAAGCTAAAATCTATCCAAAATTTATTTATTCACCATTATCTGTTGCACTTCCCGGAGACTTTACATTATTAAATTAATCGAATCAAAAAAATCAACTCAAAAATATAAAATTCAGTAAAAAAATTAAAATTTTATAAAGTGAATAATTTAAAAGCATGAAGTAAAAAATAAGAAAGTAATAATAATAGAGTAAAAAATATTAAAGTAAATCTACACTCTGAAACTGAATCGATGTCACTGTGATTCAGTTTCTTACTTTTGAAAATGAAATAAATGTTTCTCAATTGATCGGAAGCGTGATATTAAATGCAGTTCTCAGAGATTTTTGTTCTCTGAGATTTGTTGTTCTGTTGAGATTTGAAGTTCTCTGAGACTTTTGAAAGCATTTTTGTCGAATCAAAATTAGATTCTGAAATTTTTGACTGAGTAACACCTGGACTGCTGCTTATTAGCTACGATTTTTAAACTGTAAAAATATATTTAATCATATTGTTTAAAATATGATCTCCTAGGTTTCTAGTTGAGGCATTAAAAAAAGTACAACATTCCCCAACAGTCCATTCTAGGCCGATGGAGTTATGGAGTTTAAGGTACCACAATTTTGTGATCAATGGCATAGTGATGGCAATATGATCAGCATAGCATTGTGCAACGAGCTTCGTTACTTCTAGATAAGTTGGTGCCCATCGGTCTAAAGCTGTGTGAGTTTCAAGCCAGGGATTGAACCCCAGTCCTTTTAAATAGCAGCTCAGTTCCTAAATCGCTAACTCAACGGGGTCCAGTCGAGGAGGGTATGCTTAAATTGTTTAATTTAAAGCGTTAGAAAGAGAAGGACACCCTTGGAATTTTCATTTAATGGGTGATTTCACATTTAGCAATATAAACTAGTTTAACTTCAAAGTAAAATTGGTAGCCACGTTTACATTACCTTTTAGTATTACCTGGTAACATTACAAGAATGTTGCTTTTGTTGCTACCCGAAATATTTGCAAGAAACTAAGTGCAATTAAAGAGAACACAAATTTTTAAAAAAGTTTCTCCTTTTCATTCTTAGGAACGGTGCTGATTTATCGCGTTACGAAGTAATATCGCCAGGATGTTGCCCTTTTAAGTTTCCCAAAATATTTGCAAGAAACTAAGTGCAAAGAAAGATAGCACAAATGTTTAAAAAAATTTCACCGAGCGATTAAATAATTCTTATTCCAAATATAATGCAACGCAATATTTTATATTTAAATATACCCTTATTTTTTAGTACTTGGAATATTTTTTTCAAAATTTGTGCTCTTTCTTACAATAGATTAAAGAGAGGTAAATAAAAAAACCGGTTTATGGGATGTGGGATAATAGAAATGTCATTATTAATAATACATGTTTTACTATAATCAATATTTGAGTTAATCTGGGTTGTAGGTACCACTGTTCAGTTTCCACTTGCTTGATATTCACACCGTTTTCTTTTTTAATGTAAACAGCCATTCCTAGTATTCTCCAAACTTGTTTTAAGGTGAAGTGCCATTACGTAATATTTCTTGCATACTTATTTAAGGTTAAATACTATTGCCCTCTATTACCTATACTGATATTTTAATGCTTGATCTGCTTTTTATCAATATAATTTAGAATGTTTTTTCTTCTATTATCAATGTACAACGATGACCTCGTATCTCTCTCGAGTCTTCTATTTTTAAAAAGTTCGATAAAAAATGTTAAGATTTATATCTAGCAACATCTAATCTCTTCTGCCTTCTCTTTACCATTTTTCTTCTAAATTTTATTTAATCTTTTTTTTTAAATGACGTAACTTATGTAATGAATATAGATGGATGAATTTTGCTTCAACAATGTATAAATAGCCATTATTTATAGCAAAATTAAATTTAAAAAATTCTCTGGAGAAGCACTGAAAAAGCGCAATAGCTTTTAAACACTATAAAGCTTAAAATTAAAAATAAAAGTGGCCCTTTCAGCACGGTAAATCCTAGCTGTGTTATTTCCTTTCAGCTGGCAGTAACTCGGCCTGCATGGTATTTTTTTACGATAACAATTAAATGGTTGATAATTTTCAAAGCTAATAATCAAATAAAGTAAAATTGAATAATAAGCATAATTGAAAAATAAGTATAATTGAAAAATAAGTATAATTGAAAAATAAGCATAATTTATTTTTATTCCATCGTAATCCTTGTGTATTTTTCTACACACTTTCGTAATTTAAGTTGATAGGTTGTATAGTTTTTACGCATGAAAACAAAATGTAAAAAACGAAAACATGCACTATTAAAACAATTAAGAAAAAGGCAAATATGTAGCAAAGTAGGTACAAAAAATTGCAACAACTTAAAACCAGTAAAATTAAAAAATAAATTCTGATTAAGCTCAAAATGACACTTTAAACGCGTCAGATTTGAACTCTGTAACCTGCAGAGTCACCCGCATGTTATTTTTTGCTACATGTTTACGAATCATAAACTCTCGAACTATATTTTGAACATTAATATTTTTTAATTTCATTGTACTCTCAGTACATTTTTCCACACATCTTGGTAATATCAAGTTTCTAAATCTCATATTTTTGCTCAGCAAAACAAAAAAAACGATCATCTAAAGCATCGGTGGTTTCAGCATCATTTACGATACATTATAGAAACGAATGCTCAAGATCTACCTAACTTATCCAGATAAAAATAGCTACAAAACAATTTCTGACATTATTTTTAGTCTATGGAGAAATCATGGTGTATATAGATTTTATTTTTACGGGACCACTTAGTTGCAGCTAAATTCAAATGGTACAAACAGAGTCTAAAAGAACAAGAAATGCTAGAAATAAACAATCGATTGATAAAGAACTTTTTACCTATTTCAAAGTAACCATTTAATTGCACTAAAAATTCAAACAGCTCAAATTAAAAAAATAATAAAATAACGAACATTATATATATGATTATTAGCGATTTCTATGGAACCTTTAATTGCATTAACAGTGAAAATTATAGAAATAATCAATGAACTTACAAACATGAGGTGAAGCAATTACTTTCTGGAATCTTTGTGGCTTTATGAGAATTGCGTGACCAATAGGATAAAAAAATCCAAGACCAAGACCAGGAAGTTTGTTTAGATCATTTACTAATTTTCTGGGATGGATTAAGATAACGCATGCAGTATATAATAACACTATGGAAATAAATATAATAATTACATACAATAATATACTCATACTGCCAATCGCTAGCATTGTTTCTCTTATGAAACAAAAGCATTCACACAAAATTATTCATACTGGTTATCGCTCTTATATCTGTAAAAGGTTAAGAAGAAACAAATGCAAAATCAGTGCATCTTATCTATTTTTCGCTTTTGATAAAATTTATAAAGCAGAATGCTTATAACTATGAGTGTCTGCGTTTACATTATACAAATCCGAAACCCTGATCCGATTCACATGAAATTCGGTTTATATACGTTCAAAGACAAGTTTTTCTTACGTTTCTTTCGATTGTTATCAGAATTAAAATCAACCTTCATAATTTCGTAACGAATGATGATAACGTCACGGAATTTGTATTTTAAAAGGTACACGAAATCAAGTATTATTTTTATATTGGCTCGCGTTTTTATGCTTCTATAAAATTCATATTTGTAGGGAATCTAACATTATGAAGCCGCACCGGAATGTATACAATAAATAATTTTTAAAAAAAAAGGTTGTGTATAAGGTGCCATAAATGTGTCAACCGGTGTTATTAGAGTAATTCGGAGTATTAAAAATTTATTTCCACAGTTCCTATTTCCACTTTGCATATTAGGTTGCTTTGTATATTAGGTTGTCATTATAACAGTACTAATGGTAGTATCTACAGCATTTAATACTACATTTAATTTAGCATCACAATTGCCAATAATAGTTCGGCGATTTTTTACGATCTACGAGATAAATACCAATCTTAGTTCATTTGCCAAAATATTATGCACTTATATTTTTTATAATAGGTTGTCATTACTACAGTACTGCAGTGTTTGTTACTACATTTAATTTAGTGTCACTATTGTCAATATTAGGCTGGCGATATTTTACGAACTACGAAATAGATACCAATATTAATTCGTTCTTCAAAAATAATAAGAAAAATCTTAGTGCCGTAACTAATTATTTTAGCGAATTGCAATTAATCAATTTTAGTTCTAGGTACAGACAGAAAATTTCATTGAAAGGCTAAATTCATGGCCAAAATGAACCTATTCGCAAGTAAGAACTATAAAAACTTACCATATTGTTATTGACACCAATGATGTAAAATGTTCAACTAAGTAAATTTTTTTTCGAATTTTAGAAAAGGTAGTGTTTGGCTTGAAGATGTAGAAAATAACGTTTCAGGGCAAAAATGACTGTCCGCGTTACTTGTATTCTTACAATTATTATTAAAGATCATTTCATTCTGACAAATATTTAGGTTACATGGTTTTCTTCCATAAGCATGATTTGCAAATAGCATCCCGACGTTTCTATACATTCGGAAGTTAACTTTTGAAAGCATACTCTTTCACTAAGCTCTTCGATTGCGATCAGTTACTTATTTATCACCAAATATGGCTAATAAAGTTTCTTTGATTTATTTTTTTATTTAAAAACCTATTTTACGATTCTTAATATCACTACCGACATCTAATGCGATAGCCTCTCTTTAAGAAGAGTTTGCAAAATCCATAAAAAATAAAAAATGTGGAGGCAAAACTAAGAATATGCAATTTATTACGTTTATATTCACCACAACATTTAATATTTAATTTCAAAAACTAGGTAGTTTTTGGTCCAAAAATGTGGGATTTCAAATTTTAAATTTAATGATATCTTTATAATTACGATACTGATACCACAATTTTTTTACTTTATTAAGGACATATAAGTCCTGTTAAAATATTAAGATACAGATGTTTGCTACTGCGAGTATATAAACTTAATTTTTCTGAATGAAAGTTCAAATTAAAAAAAGGAGCTTCAAATCTGTTGTTTATTATTTAGAGATTTGCTGAATTTAATTACAGTTTTACTAATTTTATTAGTTTAATTAGTGAAAATAATGTGACCCCAATTACCCTTAACTATTTCCAGCATTTATGTAGACAAATCCTTTCAGTGGTATTTTTTTTCTGAAATTATTAGAAAATGGTCACAGAAATTATAGGTGAAAAAATAGTTTAGCAACAATACTTAAAAATAAATGCGTATGTGATAGATAATTCTTTTAAGTTTTACTGATTTGAATTAAGAATCTAACTTTTCGACTAATAAGTCAGTGATATTTATCGGTTTATTAATCTGTGGCTTAACTTATAGAAAACTGTAAATAGAATCAAAATGTTTGAATTTCTTCCTATAGGATTGAAATGGATACCTTTTTAAGCATTTTGAATTTTTCAAATATTGTAAAACATAAATTAGCTAAATGCCATAAAACTTCTCATTTTTAAATTTAAAAATTATGTAAAACAAATAAATGTTTTCTAAATTTATGATTATTTAATAGAATACAATTTATTTAGTGTCGTGTAACAAACTTATACGTATCTTTTCGGATCAGTTCTTTTATTTCAGTTGGTTTGTAACCGTTACTTTTTACAAAATCTCATCAATTTCATCATTGAATTTTGAATTGAGTGTAGAGGATAAACTAACTCATAAATTGTGAAAATTATTTTTTTCACGATTCGCCGAAAGTGGTGTTCTTAAAAAACTTATTTCAAATCTTTAAAAATTTTAATTTCTTAAACTATGTTGATGTATGTTAATTGTAAAAAATATACAAAATGTCACTATTTTGACTCAAACTGAAACATATTGCAGCAGCAATATGTTTTGTTGCAATATGTTTACGCCGTTAGAGGGTACCAGCTTCGGATGTCATAAATGCAAATACTAACTAACTTATAGAAGAGAATAATCAATAGAGAAATATTTTGTGACTGAGATTGCTGGCTTTCATGACGGAAAAACATATAAAATAATAAATTATGTGAATATCTTACTTAAAATCATTAAAGCAAATGTATGCCATTGATTATTGTCTCTTTCAGACAAAGCAATGAAACAAATAAAGCATTTACATTGTAGTTTTTTTCAATCAATATCAAAGTCAAACACATTTTTTTTAATTTTAGAAATATATTTTGAAGGACTAATTTCTTTGCTTAAAATCTTCGCAATATTTTTCAATTCATATATGCAATTTTCAACCTAAAATACATCTTTGTGATTTACTTGAAAAATTGAGCCTTGTTTTATTTACTTTCATACTCTTATGCAAATTGTATGCCACCTTTTAATTTTTTTAAAATTAGATTTGGTTTTGCTTTGTTTGTCGTTGATTTTGTTGTTTGGCTCTAAGAAATTTCCGGGTGTTGACCGTTATTGTGCAAGTTATCAACTTACACCATATTGCTTTTGATATCAACATAGACAGGTGATCAATTTATGGTAGGGAATAATTCATTGTATGCTTCCATTTTTTACTATTTCTTATATTTTTATGTCCATGTCACAAATCAAAATATGACTAATTGTAACTAAACCTCCAAACATAATTTAAAAATTTTGCTTTTCTTTCAAATAACTATCTGCATGAGTTAAAATTTGTTACCTAGGAATAACATTACAGTAATGGGCTTCAAAAATACGGATAAAAAAAATACGGATAAAAAAATGTCAAACTTTTTAAAAACACTCATATTTGGTTTTTTAATGTGCCAGTTATTTATTACAAAGAATTTTTTAACGTATCGCTATACAAGGTCCTGTGCGCAGCATTTTAAAATTAGCTTTGCGAAACGTACCAATTAATTTGTTGCACGTTACAAAACAAACAAAATCCCTTAATATTTTTCCATTCATGATCACCTCATAAATTGTTTTAGGTTAACCTCTTGTTTCTGTTAATTTTAATACAAATTCGCCATTTCAGTGAAACTAATGCATATTAATTGCATAAAAATATTCCGATAAAAAATCCATGATTTATTCATAAAGGAATCAGAATAGCGTTTAATAACACTATTAGACAAATTTAATTTATTTCTCTGATTGTGCTTGCAAGATAGACAGGTGGTCAGGTAATAAAGAGTTTTTTTTTCCTTTCTTGAATGGAATAAATCAAATTACAAATGTGGTCAACTTGACGAATTTCACTAAATTATTATTCTGTCCACTGTGAACAGCAGTATAAACTTCACTATTATTTTTAAGTATAAACAAAGTGCATATGGTATGAATAGATCGAACTATTTTTGCAAAAAAAATCGAAATGACTGAATAAATTTGTAATACTGGCGAAGAAAGAACACTCTGAAAATTGCATTACTTTCGGATGAATCTTTCTAAAATTTAAAAAAAAAAAAAATTCTATCATTTCTTATTAGCTTGCGAAATTTAACTTTAATGGAATGTTTTAGAGTATTTGTATGTGCTTTAGAATAAAACATGTAATATTTTATATTTTATAACCGTCGTTGAACAGCTGACCCAATTTTGAGTTTACGACTACTAGCTCCGTAGCCTTGTAATTTTGAACCCAGTTCAGAAGATAAGGGAACTCCTGGATCAAGTGTGGGGGAAACTTGCCTTCGTGGAGGATTTTTTGATGAAATTAACCCGCATTTGTGTTACATGGTGAGGAAATCCTCAAAAATCTCCCCTGGTTAGCTTCACGGTGAGAGGACTCCATGATCCGTCTACCTCTGAGGATATTTTACGTCTGCACTGTGGTAGGTGCGAGTTGGATGTGGAATCGAAGAGCCATTGTTGGAATTCGAACCCGCTTCAGCTCATTGGAAGACGAACGCTCTATCCCCTGAATTGGAGGTTGATCTCTCTCTGGTCCAGGTCAAAATAACGATCTGTAGATGTATGAACGGGTCCTTCCTGTAAAACGGGCTGAAGTCGTATTCTTGACCATAGATGGCACCACTAAGAAAACAAGAAACGCACTATGATGAAATTGATCACCATTATAATTCGATTATGGGAATGATGTACTGTGTTTCATCTGATATATATAATTCGATTAATATTGATTAAAAATTAAGATTAAGTAATTAAAGAAATTTTAAAAGCTAGGAAATATGCAATGCCAATTGTGGCATCACACGCACCCTCTGGCTTAAAATCACTTGGATTCCCGTGGCAGGTTTGCAGTTGAAGTAAGCGAAGATAGCTCCTTTGAGATACTAATATTTTAGTGAACATATTTACATTATATACAATTTGGATTGATTTACAAGAAACA